ACTGTCATGAGTATATTCTGCTACTTGCCCACTTTAAAGGGATCTATGAACTTGGGTCCTTATCTCAGCTATTTCATTCCTAGTATTACTATATAAAATGCCACCAAATTAATTTGTGATGACTAATCATAAATGTGCTGAGTTTTCTGTGCAGCTATTAGTGTGATGGCTGACCATAACAAATAGCAATTGATAGCAAGGTGTACACAGGAGAAGCAATCTTAGATAACTGCAGTGTAAACAAGGAAAAAGAACAACAGACTAAAGTATCCAAACATTAGAAAGAAATGAAGCCTCAAAGCCTGAGAGGAGGGATTGTCTCCTATTTTCCAGACATACTCCTTCTTTTTGGTTATCCAGCACTATTTTCAAATCTTTCCTCTGATGCACATCAGAAGAGACAAAGAAATTTGACAATTATTCTTATAAAACTGGTAATGCCTGTGCATATTCTTGTCCAGACATAAATGAACTGAAACACTTCAATCTCAAAGGACTGTCAAAAAAGTGAGACACTCTGGTTCCTGGTGAGTTCATGATCAGAGAGGTGTTCAAATACTTGCCCTCTACTTCTCATTCAGGATGAGTTCTTTTTATTAATCATGAAATCTTTTTCTTCTTTCAAATATGAACAGATTGATAAGGGTTCTGCATTTTCTGGCTTAGTGACGTGCTTGAAATGGCAATATTATTTTTGGAACATAGAAACTATGTTCCCACAGAGATAAAAGTAAAGTTGCTATTAAAACAAGTATAGAAAACAAGCACAGAAACATCCATAGTTTTCAGTCACTCAGGGTTTCCTTCACTAAGAAATAGAATTTATGCTAACTCATGATATTTGAGCTGATTTCTAATAAGAACAAGAGGCAACACATGGACAGGTCCCTTAATACATACCAAGCTGGGCAATGAAATTGGGTCTTGATTTTAGCAAAACACTTGAAATACTGCATGACATTTCAGTATCTGTCCACTGTACAGGTATGATTTTATGTTTAATACAAAGACAGGCTGAAGAAACAGAAAGTGCCCCACACTGAACCTCCACTGGAACAGTATTGCTGATGATTTGGTGCAGTTTTGCATTGATCTATAGGGTCCAAAAACTCTCACAGCTGTTCAATGGGCTGGAAACAAGCTGCCATCACTTTCAGTCATCTCTGAATGGTAAACAGTTCAAATTATAAATCCTTTGCCACTAAATCATCTGCTGCTAATTGCTCTTTTGCGTGTAATTATCAGTGAAGATTTAATAAGTATGGAAATGCTATTGCATGCCAAAAAGTAAAAATAAAATGGAAATAGCAGACTTATAGAACGTCTGGCAGACAAACTCTTTAATTAATGCAGCACAGGTCTCTGAAGATAAATGCAATGCAAGGAGGAACAATACTGTCTTGGAGAAGACTTTCCACCTAATTCTGCAGCATCAGTTATTTCCCCACACATGCAGCACTGCCAGTTCAAAAAATGAAACTTAGAATTTCTTCCCTTCTACAGTAACTTTATATAGAATGGGATCTACTGATTTCCCATTCTCATATTGTGTTCCTCTCCCTTTTTTGTCTCATTTTCCCCCCACATTTGAGCCTTTATGACAGTTTCTCATTGTTACTAATGTTTGACACAAAAGGATACCAATACTGACTGTGGCCAGTGTGACTTCAGCATGTTTACATCTTTAGAGATGGATCTATACACCACCCTGAGGATTAACTGGAGTAGTAGCAGCCTTGTTGCTGGTATCGCTGTCAGTTAACACTAACACTGTGCTGGTTTGAAAGCAAACCAGTGAGAGACTCCAAGTCAGAAGTACAATTTAATATGAACAACACAGCAAAGCAACAACAAATGCAACAGTACAAAAAATAACCTGACAGAGTCAGAAAGTAACCTGACACCCTGTCAGTCAGGGTGTTAGTAGTAGTCCGATTAAAATGGTAGCTGCAGTCCTCCTGGAGCAATGGCTTTGTTGGAGCAGTGATCCCGCAGATCTGCTCCTCTCCTGAAGGTCCAGCAGCAGCTCTTGTCCTCTGGGAATCCAGCAGGCAAAGGGCTCTCTGTGCTGGTCCAAACCCCGGCTTATATCCCTGTGAGCATGTTTGGCTCCCCACCCCTGGGGTGAGTCACCTCACAATGGGACAAGGCGATAATGGATCACTGGGCGGATGTGTCACGTATGGGTCCTTGGCAGCCCATTAATCAGAGACAGCCCCTGAGGGAGCCATCAGGGACATGGTGATAAGGATCACTGCCCCACCTTCTTTAACAGCTTGTGGAGACGAAAATAGAATACATACCATTGCAACCCAGGACAAACACTTACACAGAATAAGCTGACTATAAACAACTTTGGGAACTTACCCAGTGTTAGCTTGTGCAACAAACAGCAACTCACTTCCTGAACTGTTTCACTGTTGGGGAAAGTCTTCATCGCTTCCACTATGACACTGTAGCAGCGAACATTTCCAGACATGAGCACTTCAACATCGCTGGCTAAAGACAGGAACAGAAACAAAAACTGCTTCTTAAGATAAAAAAAATAGTTGATTTGATTCTAATTCAGACTTCAGTTTAATAAATTTGTTTAGAAAACTGGGCTATGTTTCAGTTTTTGCCTTGCAACTTGAGTCTTGTCAGAGAAGACATTAGCTACTACAAACTCTAGAAAATAATTCATTAAGTTCAAAGTTCAAATTAACATTTATAGATTTGTTTCAGTCTGTATCAGGCCACGGAACAGAAACCACCTCACTGATTTTATGTAACATTTTTCTTATATGTGGAAAAACTTTTATAAATACTAATTCAATCTTATTAATGGTGTTTATAACACAATTGTGATCAGGTACACATTCTATGTTATTACAGTAACATACAATCAAGAAACAATTTAGAATTTTTTTCCTCAAAATTTTATAGTAAGTTATTTGACTAATTATGTTTTTCTAAGTTTTCCTTCTTTTTAGAGGGCAAGTTAGGAAGTTATTATTTTAGTTTAAATTAGTTCTACTGTACACCACTTGTGTACTGAGGGTACACAAATTTTCACCTAATGCTCTTAAAAGTCACTGCAAATCCTGTATTTCATGGAATCACAGAAGGATTGAAGTTGGAAGGGAGCTCTAAAGATCACCTTGTACAACCCAACCCACGTGCTCAAGCAGGGCCACCTAGAGCAGGTTGCTCAGGACCATGGCCAGATATATCTCCATGGATGGAAATTTCACAGCCCCTTCAAGAAAACTGTGCTAGTGCTTGGTCACTCTCAACCTATTTACTGCTTATTACTTGGGCCAGATCCAGACACCAACAGGATAATCACATGAGCCAGTACAAAGGCAGAATGCACCTGCTCCTGCCAAGGACAGAGCAATTCCACATACAGCAATTTAAGACAAAACAGCATCATGGCAGGTAAAACACAGAGTATGAAAGTATCCTTGCAGTATGTCTATCCAGGGTATGAGACAGAATATGAACCCAAAAAATATTGCCCAAAATCCTGACCCCAATGATTGAAAGGGAGTCCTGTCACTGACTCCAAGGGAGTTAGCATTACTGTCCTGTAGTCTACAAACTTCCTTAATGGTTCTTTCCACAGCTTGGCTTTCCTGGATACAAGATAAGAGAAATATTCACAACTCTATTATTAAGGGTAAATAGTCTTTTTAAAGGAGCAGGAAATCTTCAAAATAATACAACTCTGAATATCAGATAATGATAACCTATAAGTTGTAAAAGCAAGCTCTGAGTGGGAAGCATTTCTGAAGCAATGTTTGATAGTGAAGGAAGGTACCTTTCACAATGCTTTAATATGACTGTGATTCATGTCATTCTCAACTGAAAATACCTTTTTTAAGATATATTCCACAAAACAGTATTGCATCACTTGACAGTAAGCTATAATCTCACAGGTGACAATTCCAAATTTATTAAAATATTCAGAAGATTCCAAAATTGATTATTACAGAGAAAGCATAATCAGATGCATTTTAAAACCCTGCAAGATCCAAGCAATTTGCAGGGAGTCACCATTTCCCAGAACAAGCTAGGGAAAAGAAGGTGGAACAGATCTCATTTAATCCTAACCACCAAAACTTGGTGACTGAGGTTCTCACATCCATTGATGAAGAGATCTGAGCACTCCGTATGGTGATTCATCCCAGCTGTAGCAAACATCTGGTTTAGGGTTAGGTAAATTTCCTCTTGAGGTGCCTGTTTCTCCCTGCTATCCAGAGGAGAAGCCTGTCTGGATCCCTGTGCCTGTCATTTAGACAGCCAACATGCTGTGATCCATTGCTCCACCACAGACTTCAGAGGGCAGTCAGCACCAAAGCATTTTTCTTAATGTCATCAACACTACTGTGATACAAAAGGGTTCTTGTACACACATTGGAATAAACCCTTACCTTTCAACTTCTCATGACATGTGAGCCTGAATACAGTCTACATATGTATCAGTGAAAGAAGGCATAGTGAGGTACAACCTTGATGCAACTCATTTGGAATAGAGACTTGAACTTCAGGGGTGATATTTTGCTGCTGGATAAGCTACAGTGTGTACTTACAGCGAATTATCTTCTCCATGGAAGCCTTAAAGGGGCTGTGGGATGTCACAAACCAAGAGTATGAATGCTAGCTTTGCCCATCAATGTGCAAGCTGTCTCTGTTTCTCAGATTATTTTCAATTTTTCATATTAGAAATGAGAGTGCTAAATACCTACTTTAGAGCAGGTATTTTTCATGCCCTTCTCCTGTTACACTTTGTATAAGTATTTATTATTTTAAAAAGCACTGAAAATCTGGCATGCTCTTCCCTAGAAAATATCAGTAACTTCTGGGGTAGGGTAAAATTATTTCTGACTCATGGAATACCTTTTAACACAAAGTGAAACAGCAAGAAGTTTGAGAAACAGAAACTAAATAGCTTGGAGTCTGATGAAATGTGGGACACTTTAGTCTAGTTCTTGTTTAGTGGCATACATGGGGCCAGCATGGTTCCTATAAAGCCAGACAGGATGTATAAGCAAGGCTTTGTGAGGAAACACATTTGCAGGAGGTGCAATATTTTGTACCATGAAAGACATGGAGAGCAGAACTCTGCCCTGTGCTTGGCAAAATTGTGACCACCAGCAGGAAGCTGCCAAAAGCTGCCTTTGTGTCCACAGGATCAAACTGCTGTTAGCAAATTGACACAAATCATCAAACACATTTCTCAGGATCTGATTTTGCCTAGAATGAGGACTGCTGTTATCAGAAGACAAGATATAACAAAGACATTTTCTTCCAGTCATATTGCACAACACCTGAGGACACTGTCAGACTATCACGTGTGCAGTGCTGCCAATGCTGGTCCTTGCAGTCACCACTGAATGATCAGAGGGGGTGTCTGAGCTCAGATACCTTTTCCCAGGCCTGGCCATTGGATTTGTCTGGGCAATTTTCCCCTTGTGGGACATACTTTGCCAACAGTGTTCTTTGCCTGCTCCCCCCAAACTCACTCAAGATTTAGTCAATAAATCTATTTTATTTTTCAAAATATGATAGGGTAGGGTCTTGAACTTTAGTCTCTACAACTATGATAAGCATCTTTGTTACCACTTACTCCAACCAAAAGAAGTTATTTTTCTGTTATTTATGAGATATTTCGGTTTTAATGGCTAAATATAAAAAACATCCCATGAAAAACAAAGTATTTCCCAAAGAAAACAGAAAAGTGAATTGTCTGGCAGCTCCCAACCAGTTCTGATTGTTCTCACAATAACACAAAGATTACTTTTCACAATCACAGAAAGCATGAGCTATGGGAGATGAGGAATTTAAAATAACTTCTAATGATACACTTATGTAGGCCAGCTAAGGAATGCAATGTATAAAGTGCAGGAAGAATCACCTCTTCTTTCTCTGGAAACTCTTTCAATACTTTCAGTATGATCATATGATCTTTGTGTTCAACGAATTCAGTCAGCTGCTCTTCTGGAGCTAAACTGGAAAGCAAGAGACAGCCACAATCACACAAAGACTACATTACTTTTCCACAGAAAGCATGAGCTATGGGAGATGAGGAATTTAAAATAACTTCTAATGATACACTTATGTAGGCCAGCTAAGGAATGCAATGTATAAAGTGCAGGAAGAATCACCTCTTCTTTCTCTGGAAACTCTTTCAATACTTTCAGTATGATCATATGATCTTTGTGTTCAACGAATTCAGTCAGCTGCTCTTCTGGAGCTAAACTGGAAAGCAAGAGACACAGTATGTTTTGAGGAAACAATTCATATCCTGGTACCACATGAGGAAAGGCAACTGTTTTTATCAGAGTATCCATATATTTTCTATGTTTCACAGAAAGTAAGGTCCTATCCATACACATCATCTTCATGACTTTGGCTCCTTTTACTGAAAACTGAGCTAATTTATAAAAGGCCTTTTCCTAGCCTATAGTTTATGTACCTGAGTTCTAGCTTTTAAATGCTACCCTGTGGATCAGCATTTTAAAAGAAGTCTTCAGCCTTTCTTACAGAACAAACTTCAGGTATTCCAAACTCAGAGGGAAAAGCTAAGCATATAGAGAAATAAATTTGAGGCAATGTCATTCTGCATATTCCATAATTTTATTTCATTTCTCAATTTTTTTTTTTATAATGGAGTTCTTTCCATTTTCTACAGCCATGCTTTAATTATATCTTACTTTAATGGCTTAAGGTTTTTCCATCCCCAGCCCCTGTTATGTGCAGTGAACCAGATAATGATCCAGGTTCAGAAAGAACAACACCTTTTAAATTTCATAAGCAGAATCATTTTCTGAATCTGGTTCAAGCCAAGGCTAGGCAAAAGTTCATGTTATTGTAACTGTAAAGGTGGCTCAGAGCTAGGAAAAAGTAGACAGGAACAGCCTAGAATTTGTTGTATTAGCTCTGCCATCAAGGAGGTATGCAGATCTCTACATGGATTAGTCTGTAAATCTGTCAAAATCAGGCACAAAAAATCTAAGAAGTTCAGACTTCTGTGGAGACTGAAGACAAAATACAGCAGGACAAAAGTATTTAGGGACAGTGCAAGAGGAACACAGAAGATAGTTCCAAACATACATGTGTGGGATAAAGACTTAGGGAAAGTAATATAAAATGGTGCCAAAAAAGAACCAATCTGAAGAACCAGAGACTATCTTTGAAGCAAAGGAGTACAGAGGAGGCATAGATTTCTCAGTATTTATTTTGAAGCAAGAAACTCCATTGAAACAATACAAGAAGCACTTCTGGCCATTACATGCACACAACTTTGAAGGAGTTCAATACATGCTGACTTCATTGTTTAGAAGAAACAGGAATACCATATGGATACATATTCATCTTTTAGCTTTGTCAGGATCAAAAGCAGAGCTAAGTATTTTTCTAAAGTACAAACATTTTGCTTTCACTTAGAACTGTTCACGTGTTACTAAAATTTACCAGTCTTTACACCAACAATCCTTTTTGGCTTTGAGAATGAAAATCAAATGTCACCACTTCATTCCAGCGTTACTAATGTTGAATCACATCTTTTCAGTTGAGAGTCAGAAATGAAGGGACATTTTGATTTTTTTAAAGATGCCATATTCTCTGCTCTAATTTAGAAACTCTGTGATATTGCTTGGCAAGTCTGTTTTCTGCTGATTCAATTAAAGAACAGATATAATACACAAAACAACTTGGAATGCAAAAATTCAGTTATCGCATTTCAACCAACATCTGCCGTCCCCTCCCAATCTATACATTTTTCTAACTTAATCAACTATAAGATGTAAATACCTCTCTCAAAAAGTTTCTGTAACGCTTTACATCCATGTGACTGAATCTCTTCATTTTTAGGGAAGGTGTCCGGCCAGCTCCAGCAGGTCGCTCAGGCAGCGTCTCCAGGCTCTGCCTCTCCTGCACATTTTGGAGGTGCACGAGCAGCTTCCCGAGGCTTGTTCCTCCCTCGCCACT